TCTCTTTTTGGTATCATTACAGTGCAGTGACAAATATTAGTACATTCCTACAGTTATCTAAGGGATAACTGAATTGTGCTCTGTATACTTTGTTAAGATCTTGTTCTTTCCTCTTCTGCTTTTTGTCCCCTAGGAATGCTTAAAGTCAATGTGTCTTATTCTTATTTCAGTAGTGTTTTAAAATGTACATATATTGGTAATGTCTAGTTTATATGACACCAAAACTCTAGTCTGGTAAAGAGCACAGTATGACCAGGGAGGCAGTGTGAATTAGGCATGGGTTTGTGTCTCCATTTTGCTGTATTAGTAGCTGTGTGACCCCAGGCAAGTTTCTTAGCTTCTCTGAGCCTCGTATACCTCATCAGTAAACTAGAGAGACTAATTCCTACATGGTAGGGTCACTGAAATGATAGAATAAAATTATATTAATTTTCTTTCCTTAGTAGCTACTACTTATATTGATATATGTGCTGGGCCTGATTGTAGAACTTGCAGAATATAAACTAAACAGAATACACATAGCTGTTGTTATACCTCAGTCCACATCCAAATGCAGAGCCCAAACAAACAAACAAACAAAAAACAGGTCACGCAGAGGAAACAAAGAGCTATGTCATAATAACCATCATCTCTATACTTATCTTCCATGACATGATATCTATTTTCATTTGCACCAATATAGACACAAACCTCAATACCTCTTTAAGACACTGATCCTCTCCGCCACACCCCCATTAATCACATACACATAGACAGCATTAAATTGTCACACATAAGGCCAGTAGTCATTTCGTCTCTCCTAAAGAATCCATGAAGGTGGGAAGGTGGGGGTGTTTAAAGCATAAGCCTACAAAGACATTTGTTTAAAGTCCCATTCAACATTTCCACTCTGTAAGCCAAAGTATGGTTACTGTACTCTTCCCCCACAAAGCCTTGCTGACTCCTTTTTTGACCTCCTTTCTCTTGGGAACAATACAAATTTTGTTGTAAGTGCAGAAGTTAAGCAACTTGTTTTACCTGAGTATGTCCACAGGGTCTCACCCTCCTCTTCACGCAGCTTATTGAAATGGTTCTTCCAAACAAATATAGTGCCAGAGTAACGCAAGTAGATAAGATTCTCCCCATTTCTTAAGACACCATCATGTTTAATTTCCACAATAACTTGGTGAAATAGGTGTTATACCAGTTTTACAGATAAGTAAATTAAAACTCAAGAGAAGTTAGGAACCACCCCATAAGGCCCTATCTTGTGCATATGTTGTGAGTATGATATTAAGTGTTTATCCCAGAGCAAATCACAGTGAAGTTAATGGTGGCCTCCACTAGCAGTAGGAATAATGGAAGTACACACAAGGGGAGCCACACCCTCGTCCTGTCCAGCTTGCACTGATATCATAGTGAATGCCAACAGCAGAGCTGGCTATATACTTTGCCAAGAAAACATGTGAGACTAACCAGGGGCAAAGGAGACAGTCACCTTTTTCTGAAGGCCTGCCACCCCAACATGTGGCAGACAAGTAACTACCAATAGTTGACAATCTCTAGACAAGGTATGCTGGGCAGTTGGGCCAGGGGTAGGAGAGAAGCCGTTGCTAAATCACCTACCATGTTGTCCCCTGAGCAAGCCATACTTCTGCAGTTAGGAGCAAAGATAGCTACTGCCTTGCCTACTCCGGGAAGTCATGAGAGGGTGACCTTCCACCCAGAAAACTCCTAGTATCACCTAAGGATTGAGGAAGGAAAAGGAGTGAGTACAGGAAAGTCCATCCCCCACATATATCAAGGCCACCAGATGGCTACCCAAAGAGCAACAGTGGTTAGGGGTCTAGTCAGACAGAGGAGGCTGGGTGGGGCCCTGGGCAGCATGAAGTTGAGCAGCCAGCCAAGAACTCACACCAGGAAGACAGAATCATGTGTCACCGGAGACTCCAAGTTTGACTCCTGCTTCATAGTCCCATCAGACTTCACTTTCTAAATAATCTGAGAATTATTTAAAATGCAAAACTGTGACTGCAGAGCTTTAAACCAAGCTTTGGGCCCTTCTGAGAGCGAGGCCTGTGGGATGACCCTGGTGTATGTGTATAAAGCCAGGCCTGATCAACAATGAATATGCAAATGCAAGATGTCTGTCAAAGGGGACAAATTTGCAGTTATAAGTTTTGGAGCCCTAATATATACCATAATGACTCTAGTTAATGATAATGTATTAAGTATTTGAAAATCACTGAGAGTAGATCTCAAACATTCTCACCACATACACAAAAAAGTAACTATGAGGACATGTTAATTAGTTTAATTATGGAAATCATTTTACGATACATCAAAACATCATGTTGAGGGCTGGGGTTGTGGCTCAGTGAGAGCACTTGCCTAGCACTCATGAGGCACTGGGTTCAATCCCTAGCACCACATAAAAATACTAAATAGAGGTATTATGTCCATCTACCTCTAAAAAATATATATTTTAATAAAACATCATGTCGAACACCTTGAGCATATTCAAGTTTTATTTGCCAATTATACCTCAGTAAAGCTGAAAAAAAATAAAACAAAATTTGTAAAAAAACCAATAGTCAATATGCAAGTGCCTCAAAATATTTTAGTGCTATATAAATGCAAAGCATTATTACTATAATCACTACTATGTAATAGTAGGCCCTAGCAACTCTATTGAGCATTTACTTAATAGTTCTAGGTTTTTAAGAGCAAAGGAGAATTCTGACACTTTTGTTTTGGAAGGAAAAATCTTCTTAGCTTGGTCAACTGACCAAAGTCACATTCTGAATTCTGAATGAGAGGGTGAAGCCAATCTTAAGGGAACATCCTTACCCCTTGAAATGCATCTCTCTTGTAAAACGTATATCAAGGTAGAGACCCTGACTCCTCCTCAGATCATAATTGTGGGTCCTCCCTTCTAAGTGGGAGAAAGAAACCCCTGTGCCAGGCTTCCTACAACGCCTAACCCCTTCTTCCCACCCCCTCAAGAACATAGGGCTCTGTGTCATACCTGGCATCAACTCAAATTTCAAAAATCAGGGACATCCTGGTGCCTTGGGTCACTACTTGGTCCTCTGAGGATGGGACTGCAGCCCTCACCCCCCCACACACACACACACCTTACACACAGATATGATTCCATACATGTCGATATAGTAGATCTGTAGGGGTATTGTTTTTATATTTATAAGAGCATCCAGCGATTCAGAATAAAGCAATTATTAAACAGTCTCAGTCCTCATCATAATTAGAGAAAGCTGAGAGAAAAGGGAGAAAAGGCAAATTAGACAGTTCACATCCTCCATGCCCACTAGGGACCTATTTAGAGGAAAGTAGTAATTTACTAAATGATAGCCTAATGTCCTGAAAGAGTTAATATGGCTTCCCACATTATTTCTACCCAGAGAGCCGTTTCTGCCCTCAGGATACTCTGGCTCACTTTATCCTAGGTCTTGACAGCATATAGCCTTGGAAGACTGAGTGGGTTTTCACAACCCTACTCCACAGCCCCCGCCCTAGTGCTCAGCAGAAGGGGATTGGAATCCTTAAGCATCATCCCCATCCCCTCCACCTACAGTCAGAAAGCCCAGGCCCTGTGTTCCTTGGGTCCTTAGGGGTCTTGACTTGTGAGCCAGTGAGAGTGAAAGCAGGCATTACCAGGCATCAGGCAGAGTGCTGTCCCTCAGGGGAAGGAAAGTTTAGAGCAAAGCTGTTGTCAGTCACTGTTCTGACACAGCACAGCATCTGACAGCTGGCCCAGGTAGTAGCTTCAGTGTCAGGGGAAATGCATGACTCTAGGAATTAGGAAGTCTTAGTCCAAGTCATGGTCTCCTTACCAAGCCGTATGACCTTGAGCCAAAGAACTCCATTCCATTTCTTCACCTATGTAATGGGAACATTATCAGTAACACCAATCTTCTGGATTGTTTCAAGGATTAATGGAGATATACTGCAAACATATTTTGTCAACTAGAAATATCTTATACAGTGATCCCCCTCTTCATGGTTTCACTTTCCTCAGCTCCAGTTACCTGTGGTCAACTGCGATCCAAAAATATTAAATGGAAAATTCTAGAACTAAACAATTCACAAGTTTTAAATAACTTTCATCATAGCATGTTATAATTGTTGTTTTATTATTAGTTAATACTATTAATATCTTACTACATCTCATTTATAAATTAAAAATTTTTACAGGTATGTATGTATTTGAAAACATAGTATACATATGGTTTGTTACTACCTGTGATTTCAGGCAATTATTGGGGTCTTGGAACCTATGCCTGGCAGGAAAAGGGAAACTACCCACAACTGCTGATTATTTAAGAAGATAATGTTTGTGCTGTTTGACCTTAGAAATCTACTTAATTTCTAAGATTCTCCAGAATTTCATCTGGAAAAACAGTACTAACGTAATAATAATGATCCCATAGGGTTTTTGAAGTAATGCATATAAAGGGCCTGGTACATAGTAGGTGCATAAGAAACATGTTTCTTCCCTTGCTCTCTCTTTTCCATCTCCACAGATATCAGGTATCACTTCCCCTTGGTTCCTGGCCATATTCCTCAAGGTTGGACTTCCCCCATCCCCAAGGAATGCTGTTGCATTCCTATCTGAGCTCTGGCTGACTTCCTTTGCTTCCCAGGGCACTGGTAGGAGGAGAGAAGGGAGAAATCACCTTTGGGAGCTGAACATAAAAATGTTATTTTGACCGACATCATGTGATTAAAGGTCGGTACAAAAACTGCAAGTCTTTTAAAAATATTTGCTTTTGGTGTGCATCCGTTTCTGTTCTTGATGATTTCCTAACACTGAACTAGATTTAGTTAAAATTTTAAAGAAATTTATACAGAGTTATCAAGTACCCTGGGAAGAACTGACCCTATTGATTTGCTGTACCTCTTGGATACCCAGGAGAACTTTCCTTTTTCCCACCCAGTGGTTGCTTACCACTTTCCCCCACTCTCTAATTTCTGGAAGCCTTCTTAGCCTTCCCCTTCTCTCTCCCTCACCCCCCATTCAATTACCTGCATGCCACACCCATATCTCTGAACCCATCCTTTATCCCCACCTCCACAGCCCTTTCTTCAGTCCCTTAATTTTTCTTACCTGTATTTCCACAGGGCTTTCAAAATATTTTTCATGTCATAAGGTTGTTTGAAAATTAAATGAGATAACACATTTTACACTTATAAATGTCACATGTTACATGATCCCATGCCTCTGGTGGGTACAAAATAAGTTGTAAACGTTTTAGAAAATAGATGTTCACTAACTATAAGAAAGAATTTGTAGTAGTAAAGCCTCAAAGATGGAATGGGCTTCTTCAGTAGACATGAGCTCCATGTCACTGGAAGAGTCTGAGTCTTGGTTATGTGACTCTTTCATTAGAAACATCAGATAGGAGGCTGCAATATCTTAAGTTTTTTCCTGAATAAATAAGGACATTTTCATTTACATGTGGCAGAAACGCAATACAAAATGGGTAAAGCAAGATGAATTGGCTCACAAGTCTGGAGGTTTCAGGCATGACGTAGCCGAGCAGTCTCTGGAGTCCCTCAGTCTGTCGCTCCATCTTTGTTCTGCTTTACTCAGCACTGGCTTCACTCCTGAGGATACCTGCTCCCCAGGATATGCTTGGCAGCTCCATGCATTAACCTCAGCACTCTGGCAAAGCCAGGTTCATCAACTCAGAAACACCAGTGAATAGTGCTCCTCGTTCTCGATAGTTCCAGCAGAGGTTCCTCCTTGAACAAACCCTCCCTGAATGAACCATTGTGGCTGAGTGATGGAATCTCCAATTGCCCAGTGGATGTGGGTTTCACTCCATGGTCAGCTCTTATAGGATTATATAGAATTCCATGGCTTGAGTGTGGGAGAAGTTGGTACCCAGTGAATAATCAGGCTATCGATAACAGAAGTAGGACTGAGTGTTGAACAGCATAAAATGTGGATATCAACTTTCCTATCCTCAGATTCAAATATTCCAACCCCAAACTATTTCTTAATATTTACTATGTAATTCTTCCTTACTTTGTTCTTCGAGCATATTTCAACATCCTTAATGTGCATTGCTGAAAAATTGTCATAATGATGCACATAATCACCAATAAATGAGAGCCTATCTTATCTTCATAAAATACTGTGGAGAAAAAATAAACCTTATTTTTATGAGTCTACAATATAAAATGTTACTGTCCACTCTCAGGTGCATGGACTTCTCCTCACTTACTCAGCAGACAAGCACACAAGATGGTGCTGTGAGAATGCGCTTTGTTATTTGGATATGTTGAAAAATTGGAGAAACCTCTCAATTCTGAAGCCTTATGAATTAATACTAGGCTGAGTTAATTCTCTAGTTGAATTATTGTGCTGCAGGCATTGCGCTTTTTTATATGGGGGCACTTATTTAATCCTTGAACAACATCTTTAAAGAAAATAATCTGTATTTTATAGATGTAGAAACTGAGGTACAAAAAAGATAAATAACTTGGTCAGGATCTATAATTAGAAAATGACAGAGCTGGACTAGAACCCAGTTCTTAGACCATGAATATGAGAACTAGAGGTCTCCAATATGCCTTAAACCATGTTTTCCTGAACAATAACAAAAAAAATCAGAGTTTATGGTCTGACTCATTTCAAGATAGCTATTATGGAATACTTGGGATGTATAGTAACTAAGTGAAACAGATATACAGATCAGGTTATGTAGTCTTCTCTCATTACTAGCCTTGAAAGTTGCTGTGAGTGTTGAGTTTAGCTGCTCTCTTGGTTAAGGGTGTTAAAGGGTAAGGAACTTAGCACCTGTGCCATGCAGCTGACACTAACTCATAGGGGCCCACTGAAAGCAAAGGCTGCAAGCAAAAGGCTCTGCTATGGCTCAGTGGAGCTGCACATGGCTCAGGTCCTGTATGTAGTTAACATCCAAAAGAAGTCCCTAGGTCACAATTCAGAAGACTGGGGCAGAGCATTTCTGGCAGATGGGCCTCAGTGTTTACATTCATTCCCCCTGGATTCCAAGCCTGCTTGCCTTCAGGAAAGAGCCAGTCCCTTCTGCTCACTCCGGGTTATTTAAGCTTGGTAGTCAGATCTGTAAATATGCCCATGGTTAATAGGCAGTCTATAAGTTGTTTCAAATTTGTATCCAAACAAAGGGATTTTTCCATAGTAAAAGCCTGATCAGGCAATAAAAATAAAAAATAAAATCTATGAGTGCTGGAAGTTGCTCTATGCCTTAATTGTCTCATTCTTGACAAGCAAGCCTGGAGCAAAAGGGGGAACCATGCTGCTCCTATGACAGTTGTACACCATCGATAGCCACACATGTACAGTCACCATTTCCAACACCCAACTCTCCAGGACTCCTTGATTCTGTTGCATCCTCATTGCACAGGGTCATGCTCTCTAGCCTGTGTCCCAAAGCGTGGGCTCTCTTCCTCCCCACCCTCTCTGACTCATTTCCATGCCCTCTATCAAAACATGCCAACTTTTTCTTTCAAAATTCAAAATGCTACTTTCTACATATTAGAAGATAAAGCTCCACAATATCGTGATTACAAATCCGCATTTATAGTGCTTCTGTCTCTACAGCAGCTTAGTTCTGAAATAGCTATTACAAACTCATTCACATGGTTGCAGAGATTCATTCTGGGTTGGGATATGCCACAGTTTTTCTCACCTAGCTATGTGGTCCAAGGTTCATCCTACAGCTTAATGGAAAATGAGGTCGCTGTCCAAAGTTCTGACCTCAAACCTTTTCCTTCGTTCTACTTGTGAGCTGATGATAATCCACTCACAGGCCTTCCAGGTACCAGGAATCAGCTGAGAGCTCATTTGTTTCTCTTGCCCATACTTCTGCCTGAGTTCCAGATTGCTATTCTCTCTGATTTCTACTTGCTTCTTCTTGGAGAACAACATTCAACATGTCCCAACCTTTCTTTCACTTGTTCAGCAAACATTTACTTTATTCCTATTTAGGATATGGAGTTGAACATAATTAGAGGATCACATAATCAAGGTCCTAGACATCATGAGTTGTATATGGATATTTATAACTAAATCAGTAATTACAAAAAATGACAAATGCAATATTAGTGGAGTAAAAATTACTATGAGAGCAAAAGGGTATTGCCTAGGTCAGTTCAGAGCAAAGAAAATATAAAAATTTTCCTAGAATAAGGTACATGTTAGTCAAAATCCATAAGGATAAATTGGAACTACCAGAGAAAGAATTCCACATTAGAGTTCCATCTCTAAATTATCTTCCTATTCTCCAGAAGCCAGCTCAAGATTTGACATCATAGGCAGTCAGTAGATCTCTGCATAATGAGTAAAAGTATTTTTATATCACCACCTGTGAAAGATCACTAATACAGTGTAAAGAATCATGGGACAGCTCTGTGCTGAACACACATGCACACATATGCTCACACATAATTTTAAGATGTGTACATTTCTAAGATTGACTCTAAATTATCAGAACTTTACTATAAAGCCAAAAGAGGCACTCACTCTTACTTCTCCATCATCTTTTAATCCTATTTATATCTGAGACTACCTCCTGGGGTTTGTTTACTTATTTCAGGTATTTCCGTCCTTAAGTTGTGTAAGTTTGGCATTATAATTCTGAAGGAGTGAGGCAGTTCTAGCTAACTAGGTTTGTGCTTTTTAGTGATACTTTGAAAGAAGTCTTCCCTGCTTAAAAATGTTCAAAACAAATGACAAGATCTAAGACATAAGAAAGTGGAATGCTAAGATGAGCTAACATTGAATTAAGAGAGATCTTTTGCTGTAATACTCAATTATAAGAGTATTTCTTCCTCCAAGAATCTCAAAGCAATTCTCTTAAGTATGCAGTTCTAGCTGACTTAAGACCAAGTCATAAATAAATTTCTATTCTATCATGGAATTTCCTGTTTGATCCATGGAATTTTATCTACCTAATTTTAGGTGGTATCTCTCAGGTCTGTTGAGAGGGAAGTCTGCCTTTGTGTTCATTATCTTCCTAACCCAAGAAACTGTCCTCATGCTAGATTTGCATAATTCCCCTACATAGCTACAACTAAGACAATCACCCCTGTTAGCACTTCCCCTGTTGTTCAGGAAATCTTATGTTAAATTCCTTCCTGAGAGGGTAACTGTCACTGAAGTTTCAGTGAATATCCCTATTCTATTTTCAAGCTCTCTTTATCAGCTCAGTGTTGTGGATGTGAGGGGTATTCAATAAAGATTGTGGTTTTATATGCTAGGGATTGAACCAAGGGCCTTACACATGCTAGGCAAGCACTGTACCACTGAGCTGCATCTCCAGCTCAATAAAGGTTCATTTTATTTTATGTTTTAGCTAACATTTTTGGAGTGCTTATTTTGTAGAAAATACTATAATTAATGTTTTACATGGTAAATCAGTTGGGGTTCAGTTAGAGAAGCAAAACCAGTAGGAGACATACTCTGTGAGATTTATTGCAAGAAATCGGCTCATGTGATAGTGGGGACTGGCCAGGCATGTTTGGGATCTGTAGGGCAACCCTTCAGGAAGGATAGGCTGGCACTCTTGCGAGTGGAAGGAAACTGCTATTCACAGTATCTAAAATAATCTCCCCTAAAGCCAACTGATTATGGACTTTAATTACATCTACAAAATATCTTTTCAGCAACATGTAGGTTAATGTTTGATTGAGTAATTGGGAACTTTCAACCAGCCAAGTTAGCACATCAAAAACACCATCACATATGGGTAATTTCATTTCCTCCTAACCATATTCTATGGAGTGACTTCCATCATCATCATATTCCTTTCACAAACTGGAACAATGGGGCACAATAAAAGTTAAGTAACTGACTAAAGATCACAAAACTTTTAAGTGGAATATCCACGACTTGAACCCACAGATATGATTCCAAAGTTAGGAGCTCAACTACTGCATTACACCATCACCAAACAAATGAAAGAGTTATTGAATGTCCATTCCTCTACATCTGTACCCAATATTGTTACTCGGGGAAATGTCATTTTTCATAGTTGAGAAACCAAGTAAACATGTATTTTTACCTCAAGTTATAGGAGTTTGCATTGCAGAATGAAGATATAACTAAATGATCTGACTTTAAACCCCACTGAGAATTTATTAATCTCAAAAACAGATATCCAAACTGTCCCGTCAAGGAGTCAGGTCACATTCCTTACAGAGTACACCAGTCAAGAAGCCAGGTCATGTCTGGTCTTTTCTCTCTATATAGTAACATATAAAAACAAAAATCTTTAGGATTTTTTTTTTAGATAAATGATTCCTGCATTATCTTTTCATTGCTGTGATAAAATACCTGATGAAAATAACACAAAGGAGGAAAGATTTGTTCCAGCTCATGGTTTCTGACGTTTCAATCAATAGTCAATTGACCCCATTGCTTTGGGCCTGAGGTGAGGCAGAACCTCATGGCAGAAGGGCATTTTGGAGGCAATGAGGGCAACCTGGGAAGCAAGAGGAAGAGAGAGACAAGGAACAAGATACAGTCTCCAGGGGCTGGCTCCAGGGACCCATTCCCTTCAACTAAACCCCCCACTTTCTATGATTTCTACCACCTCCCAATAGTGCCATCAAATTACAAGTCCATCAATGGATAATCCACTGATGAAGTTAGAACCCTATGATAAGATCACTTCATAAAAGCCCAACTGTTAAACACTGCTGCACTGGAGATCAAGCCTTCAATGGAGGAGACTTTGGGGAACATTCCAGATCCAAAACAATATAAGTTAAATGCTCATCATACTCACAGAATGGGACAGGCCTGGGTTTACATCCTGACCCTACCCCTTGGTAGTCAGGTGGCTTTAGAATTTCACAAATTTCACAAAAGCACATAGGAGGGTGGAGAAAACAGTAGACATTTAGAGTTTCTTTTTAAGGAAGACAGTGTTGTCCCAAAACTATTAGTTGCAGTCACTTAAGTCCCCCCACCCTTTTCTTCCATCTGTAAAGTTTGGATAATAAGAAAACTACTTCAGAGAGTGTGAGAATCAAACAAGATAATGTACAGACGCCTGGCAATTCATAAGTGCTCAGTAAATGTTACTTTTTATGAAAAGATTTATATTTCTATTTTGGTGCCTGAAGTTTTGCAACTGATCAAACCTTTGTTTGCTTTGGTTTTAAGGCAATAAATGCATACTCTTAAAGTTTAGAAAATGAATGTTCCTTGAACAAGCACCGTTTGGAGTTCAACATAATGTTAGGCATTTCTTAAATACTCTTGTTTGAAGTGTCTTCGTTCCAACCTATTCACAGACCCTTTGAGGACTATTACCTCGTTTGGAGACCTCAGATATTCTCTGTGGGAATCTGAGGCTCTCATCCGAGACTAAGAGGGCAACTCACAAGTGCAGATGAAACACGGAAATGCCAATGAACTGAGGTGTGTGGATAGTCCATTGTGTTCCTGCAACTGTTACAATATTAGACAATCTAAGCCTCAAATTATTTTTATTTATCTATGGGGGGAAACGTTGGGATAAAAGGGGGGCTCCCTTGTCATTTAAGGTCAGAGGTACTTCATTTAATTGGTGTAAGTTGCAAAGAAGACTTTGATAAAGTAAATTTCTACAATGTTAGTAGTAGTACGGTGGTAACTTTGGTGGAAACCAGGGGCAAGAGCGAAGGGTATTTGAACAGCATCAAAATCTTACTCAAAATCTTAATCGTGACCGTCGAAGCCTAGTGGGGTCCCATCGTACCCGCTGAAAATAGAGGACAACAAGTCTTGTGGGATGGGGCTGTCGGTCCACACAAATCGAGGACTGCGGTGGTTTCTCCGGCGTCGTAAACACTAAGCAGCTTGGACAGTGGGAGGAAACCCGAGGTGGCCTCTGGGGTACAGCAGGACCTGCCTTCTCCCCCTCTTCCTCCTCCTCTCCCCAGAGGCGGCGACGGCAGTG